TAGCAGAGAAGCGAAATCATGATCCACATATTAGATATTAATATAAATATATGAAGCCAATTATTCCAGTCCACATAGGAGAGTCATAGTTCGTATGTATTATTCCAGAGTGTATGTTATTTGTAAAAGCTTTCAAATCCTTCTATATGGATTTTTGCACTTTTCATCTGGTGTATGATAACTAAAGGTTGTTCGTTTTGCAATACAGGTATGACCAATATCATAATACGATAGTAGGGCTTTCCACGGTTTTTGCCTTTGCCACCGCCCAATTCATTTATCATACCTCCCATCGGGAATCAGGGCGAGCTACCGCTTAGTGCTCCTACGATGCCCTGGTTCTTTCCATTGGGTAGAGAGGATATCCAAAATTTTAAGTCTACAATCGGTGATTGGCTGCCAAGTCGCCGACCTCTTTCTTCATTGCCCATTCCTGTGGAAAGATAACCGAAGAAGATTGATTAAGCGCTTTTTGGTTCAAACTTACATGGGTTTCTTTTTGAACTAGATAGTGAGGGGTCTAGTATGAAGAAGAGGTGGGACTATTTTTGATACCCCATAGAAACCATTTTAGAAAAAGAACTGTCCTAAAACTCATTTCCTGGCCAGCAGGAAGGAAAATTAAGGTTGTGCTTTTGCTCTTTACGGTCCAACTACACGGATCGGTTCTAACTTAGAAAATTTGAAATGCCTGACTTATTCTTCAGTTGTGGATCTACTGATGCGGGTGAATGTCAAAGGTGGTGTGGATTTTGGTATTATACAAGGTTATGTGTTTCTGATTCTCTCTTACCAGGTGACGAGGATCCGAATGGGCTGGTTACGTCATCGCTGAGTGTGGGAATTCATATTCTGTTAAAAGAGGGAGCTGGAGAGAGGAACTAAAAACACCAAAACTGTTAATTTTGTCCTGCATAATAGTATGGCAAGGAGAGACGGAGAGGCGTTAGATTTATAGGAACCTGTATACATTCCATACCATACACGAACCAGTTGAGTGCTGTGGATTTTCAGGGAATGAGGCCCTCTGATAAAATATTTCATCCATGAGTTATTCACAATCACAAATTATATCATTATACCATTTTCGGCCATTTGATGTTTTTATTTTTTAAAACCATATTTTATGAAAATTTCCAAAGAGACATTTGACTTGTACTAAGAGGAAAATATTATTTGAAGTATTTTAAAGCTCTATAGGGACAAATCACTGTGAAAAACAGTCAAGTAAATTTGGTTTTACTGAACTTCAAGCAGGGGGTTTAGCTGAACTATTTAAATGTTTTTCCATTCAAAAGGCTATTTTTTGCCCGTAGGACTGTTTGTACGATAATATTGAAATTATCCTCCTTCGGCCGTTCTTCTTTCCATTAGCACCCAAAAAGAAAAAAAAAATGTAAGTACTAACTAAAAAAGTTCCGTTTGCCAAATGGAAATAATTACATGTGATAAAAATAAATCAAAACAAAGAAATAAAACTCAAGTTCCTTTGATGGACCCTGCTTTCACGCATCGTGTTGTTTAGATCTTTCCAACAGTCGCTGACTTTTGGTTGGTTTCCCAAAAATTCAAGAGCCAAGCCACTTGGGATTATCAAACTGGGGGAGAGGGGCGTTGTGATCATTGATGGTTTAAATAGCCCCATCGTTTAATCATGAAACACCCAATTTAAGGCGTAAATTAAAGTATGAAGTAGTATTAATAAACAAAAATCAAAGCAATCAAAACTAAATCTCTAATATAGGTTAATATATATAAGATCTTCTTTCAAACTCAAACTAAATTATTTAACTTGGGGCTTCCGATCTCGGTCTCCCCACATTCTCTTGTATGAGGGATTGGCCTCTGAAATTTCTATACTTTTTATTATATTTTAATAACCATAACAAATTTGTTTTAGATGTACAAAATATTAATTATTATAAATGATTAAATTCAATGACTCGACTAGTATCTCCAAGGATTTTAATCTTCCTTTCATTATAATATATATATATATATATATATATATAATAACTATATTTTATATATATATAATATATATATATTATTATATATATAAAGAGGGTAGAAAAAATATTGTTGTAAACACTTGTACGCATTTGCAGTATTGAGGGGCCAAACGAGAAAAGAAAGCTAAACTAGTTAACTTGCGAGTCTGTGCTAGATGGAAGTTCCTTAACAAGCGAATTAGAAATGGCCTTTTCAAAGATATTTTGCAAAGAGAGAATTGGGATTTGCTTCAGCCAAAACACTTCACCAATCATTATCTGCTTCTGAGGTTTATAATTCTTCGACTCAATCCTAATTTTCCTCTGTATTTTTAAATATGATAATTCATTCCATAAATTTCACTTGATGCATCATTCAGTTCTTTTATTGTTTACGTAATTTCTGAATGTTTCACTCTTTTTAGTGTTTTGAATTGGGAATATTAACGCATGTTTTTAAGTTCTAATTTAATACTTCTCAATGCAAATTTGTTGATTTTTCTCATTAATTTTCGTATCAGAGCTGAAATAATCTTCATTTCTCTTGCTTACAGGGTACTTTTGGACAAATAAAATCTTTATTGGGATGCTAATTGGTTCATGAGGGTTGTGTAAACGCAGTAGGAATTTAATCTACTGGTGACCTTCCTAATGTGTCAGTTCTGATGACACACAGGTTAGGTTTTGGGATTGGGAGACTAAAAAGAGAAAGTTTCAGTATCCCTTCGGTCACTCGGATAATATATTTTCAGGAACCCGGATCATTGCCATTTAGTTGATGATCGTCGAGTAGTTACTTCTTTCTGCTGATGGTCAGGTTGAATTTTCTTATCTTATTTGGAATCAAGGCATACTCCCAATCGTCTGTTTTTTTTTCCCATTTATTTGCTTGGGACTCAGTTTGAGATAGCAGTGAAAATTCCAGCTTAGCTTATGGAGTAGGCAGGTTTCAACAGTTAAATTACGATGTTAAAATTTTTAGACCTTTCCAACTCTAGATGCTAGCTACTAATATTTTAAAGCATAGGACTGCTAGCCCACAATAAGCTAAGCACAACTGCTTGTAAAACCAGAGCTTCAGTGTTGTAAGCTTGAATCCATAGTTAGAACCCTTTAATTAACCAAGTAATGTCATCCTTTCGTTATTAGCATTGAGTTGTTTTATATATATATATATTGTGTTGTGTGTGTGCCTGTGTTTGTGTGCGGCAATATTGCACGAGGTTTTCACCGCTTTTAGTGTTTAGAAGTACGTATGACCTTTCTGTTTCACAAAAAGGAAACAATGTTACAGTTGCAACGATAAGCTGTTCTTTAGAATGTTGTTTCCAAGGAGAGGAGGTCTTTTTAGACCCTTGTTTACTATACTGAATTTTGGAAGTATGGGTTGTTGAACTAATTTAAAGAAAATTAAATGTTACCATTTGCACCCACAAAACGAAATTATGAAATCCATGGGAAACTCATTTATACCAAAAACAAGCCATAAATTGAGGAGAGCTGAGTTCTTAGTCAATCTTGTTGTCCTTTGCTTTCTCTCTTGTTGATATGGATTTGCTTCCTCAGGCCTTCTTTGGGATTGTTTGTCCATAACTGCCTCCTTTTTTGGCATTTTATCCATTTTTTTTGTCCCTGCAGGTCAGGCTTGGGCCAGCTCTTGGAAAAAATGGTCAAGTTTGATACAAAAAGAGTTTTGGGGAAGGCACCGAGGCGTGTATTTTACAAGCTTGCTGTGGAGCAGGGAAGTCCCCATGTGCTTTATAGCTGCGGTTGAAGATGGTTTAGTGCAAACCATGTTGTTAAATTTATAGATATTTTTGTTTTCTTTGGAAAATCCTTTTCTGTGGCTTGGCAGTTGATTTTTTTGTTTCATTTGCAGTTTGAATTCTGCGGTAGTCGGTCAGCTACAAAGCTTTCTATTGTTCTTTCATTTGCAGGAAAATAGCAGACGGACCTCATGATAGGCATTTAAGATTGAATGCCATTGTAATTTGACCCAAGAAAAGAAACTCCTAATTACTTCCGGCCAGTAGGCAGGTTCCAATGAGTATGCACTTGTCTATGACATTTAAGGAAATGCAGATTGATGCATCGATTAATTCAGATACCACACCTGTGGACACCTTTTGCCCTCGGTACCTGATTGGGACTAAAAATTTGCATATCACAGGATAGCTTTACTCAATACTAGTGAATTGGCTTGTCTCTTTATAAAGATGAACTTATTTATCTATTTTCAGAAGAACACGGGGATTGGGATCCAAAGCCCACTTTATCCTTACCTTCTGAAGGGACTTTACAAAAAACTTGAAGAGCCACAAGGTTTACTTGGGCCATAGAAATGCAAGGGACTGGTTAAAGAGTAGAGTTTCCTTTTGGCCTAATGATGAATATGTATTTGAGTGGTTTGATTGTGGCCACATATTTATTTGGAGAAAGCCAAAGTGGTAAGGTATGTGCGTTTAATTTGGCGTGGTTGATCGGAACATGAGTGAATCCACACTTGAACCTCATTCCATATTTGCCCTCATTTTTCGCTACTCTGTGGAATGGAAAAGAATTGTGAAGCTTTGGGTTCCCATTTGCTAGAGAGATCCTCCATTTCCTGACAAATTTAGAAAAAGGTACTAATCTTGAATACATTTAGGGAAAAAAAAAAATTGGCATCTTGATGATTTGTCATTTTTGTTTATTGTGATCAACCTTGTAAATTGAGTTTCTTGTTTGTTGTTCCCTTGTATTTGTTGATTTATTAACAGATCATGGAGTTCAAATAGGAAGGGTAGAGAGAACCCTTCACGGATAAACCTCTATCCCGAATTCTTTATAATGAATGTTTTTCTTGCGAAATGCAGAGGAGACAAAGTTTGCGAATATTAGAGAAAGGAGGATTACAGTTAACACTGATGTGAGAGTGATGAAGAAAGAGGGGAGGAGGCATATGTTTTAGGATTTTCAGACTGACAGTGACCCTTCTGAAGAGGCGTTGTAATATTAGCTAGAGTTTGTAACTTACATTTTTAGCAAAACTAGGTTTCTAGGAATTTCCTGTCCTATATTTACTTTCAAAAAAAAAAAAAAAAAAAATCTGTCTATAATTATATTGTACATATATTTTACTTGGAGTTGCTGTATTTGCTACAAATATTTTGCACAGTCAAAGGCATCATAAAACCAGAGAATGATGGCTTTGCATGGTTTTTGGTGGAAGTGGAGATCATATTTCTGTAAGTATGAATGCTTATATTAGTAGTAGGTGTTGATTGGTCACCGCAATTACTTCAGTGTTAAGCTGCAATTTTCTACCAGTTCCTGATCAAAGGATTTGTTTGTTTTTTAGTTGCAGAAAATATACACTTTGCCTTCCCATTAACACAAAAAAATACTATTAATTTCCTCCGGTTAAAGTGAGCCTGCTTGAAATTTCTATTCTTTTTGAGTTCTCTATGATGTTAGTCTATGTTGCAGAAATGGAAACGAAGAATGTTGGAAACAAAGGAAATGACATTTAAAAATTATTAATTCACCATTTAAAAATATAATTTTACACAGGAAAAATAAATATGCGAAGATGTTCCATGCTAAGAGTTTTTGTACATAAGAGTTCTGTACAAAATCGTAAAATGTTTAGGTATTCTGTTGGTATTCTTCTTTTAAGTTTAGTTACTGTATTGTATATGAGCAGCTTTGGCTTGTAAGAAATAAGTTGTCTATCAAGAAATTTGCTTGGGGACTTTGAAATTTATCATAGTAAAAGCATTAGCAGGGTTATGGATCTTCTCCACTTGAATTATTACTATACAGGTTCTTGTGTTAACTTGTTATGAGGATAAACTGAGATCAAGAAATTGATAGGAACAAAAATGAAATGGCATCGATTATAAATTTGAAATTTCACAATATCCAAAATCGTTATCATTGTCACAAGAAAAATGAAATTTTTTTTTTTTTTTAAATTTTTTTTTTTTTTTTTTTTTTGCAACTTCAGAAAACCTATTTGGAAATTTTCATTTTTAACATCACAAAATCGAGTCATTTTTAATATCGAAAAGTATTATTATAAAGTGAATTTATAACTGTAAACAAAATTTAAAAAGTTAAACACTTTTTTTTTTATCAAATCCCAGGTGGTCTATCTTAATTAGTAATTAAAAAAAGAAAAAGAGGAAATGGGCTTCTTTGTAATTTAGCAAAACCAAACCCCCAAGTCCCCAACCCAACACGTGATCGTCAATTTTACGTTATCTTCATAGCTTATTTTATTCTCCTCCTCGCCATTGAAATACAGTTCCCGCTTGTCAATACAAATTCAAAAAATTTCATTCTCAAATCTGATACACTCCATTTTATTACGTTCTACTGCTCTCCTACTCCACTTGATAGATCTTTCTAGAGAAAACTTACTGATTGTTCTTGTCGCAGAAACACAAATGGAATCTGATCTATCCCTCGTTGAGATGTCAGGGGAAGACGATTCATTGCTATCTATGGCAAACGACGATGTTTCTTTCTCTAACGGCAACTCCTATTTCTCCTGCTCTCCTCTTCTTCGAATCCCCAGATCTACCCGCTCTCCTCGTCTTCCTTCTCCACTCGGTTAGGGATTTCAATTTAAATGGATGGTTTGATTTATATGCTTCATTCTGTGTTAACAATGAGGGGTTTAAATGGTTTCGTAGATAGGTTTCTAAAATTTGTAATGATTAATGAAAGTAGAAATAGGCAGTAATTAATCTGCTTATTATGTTGCAGAACCAAGCTCTTCATCGTGTGAAGATAGTACATATAATAATAATAATGTGAACAAGGAAAATGTCAGTTCTGATAAATCAGAAGTGCCTAAACTCAGTATTGAGCCACAGAAAATGAAGAGGAAAAAGAAGGGCGGAGGTTACAATCTGCGTAAAAGCTTAGCATGGGATAGAGCTTTCTTTACTGAAGAAGGTTTTGCTTTGTTATATATTGTTTATATATATATATATATATATATATATATATTTATATATACTTGCTATTATATTTACTTTTCTTGTTGATCAATGCTTTATGGGGCGGCAATTCTTCTTTGGGCTTAGGTGTTTTGGATCCCTTAGAGTTGTCAAATGACTTAGTGGGAATTTTGGGGCAATCTAATTGGGGAGACTTTGTCAGTGTATACATGAAGGTAAGAGAATCAAATGGTCTGGTGAATTGGGATGCGTCAGTGACTTCGTCGATTTGGCAAGCACTTTGAGGATAATTTTATTCAAAGGAGCTTCTCTTCAATATATATATATACTGCTATTATATTTACTTTTCTTGTTTGATCAATGCTTATGGGGGGCAATTCTCTTTGGCTAGGTGTTTTGGATCCCTTAGAGTTGTCAATGCTTAGTGGGAATTTGGGCAAGTCTAATGGGGAGACTTTGTCAGTTATACATGAAGGTAGAGAATCAATGTCTGGTGAATTGGATAGCGTCAGTGACTCGTCTGATTTGCAAGCACTTGAGGATAATTTATTCAAGGAGCTTCCTTCAAGTACTCTAAATGAAGGTAGAAAGATTGCTGGTACCTTGTCACCAAAGCTTGGTTCGTCAACTAGAGATAAACGAGGCCCAGCTTTTTCTGCGGTTAGTGTTTTTCGAATTTGAATACATGTTTTCCCCCCTTTATCCCGTTCTTGTTTAACCACTTTGTTTATTGCTTAAGCTGTATTTTAATTTTAATTCTTTTTTCTTGCTTTCTTTCATTCTTTTTCTTTCTTTTTTTTAATTGAAAATATTGAAAGTAATGAACCATGATGTTTGAACAATGCTCCTCAGACCAAAAGAAAGGTTCTTCAAGCTCAAGATATTAATAGAAGTGCCGCTAAGCGCAGTGGTTGCCCACGACCAGTGGCTTCATCTTCATATCCTTTTTATACCATTTTTGTATGGAGTTGTATGTTTGATGGTCTCCAAAATCCCTCTAAGTTTATGATCCATGAGTTTCTTTGTGCTTCTCTGTTTTTTCTTAGTCCATTTGTTTCAATGTAAAGTTGACCTTAACTTCCTTGAACTCTGAAAAGACCTCCAAACATAAACACAACAAAAGTGGCAACTAAAGACTCAAGAGTTTCTAAACTATTGGCTACAAAGTCAGATCCTTCAGCTCTTTCTTCAACTTCTAGAAGTTCCACAACTAGTGCAAGCCACTCAAAAAGCAATTATAATTCTAAGCCAGGTGATTTTTGTTCATGTCTGTGCGTATTCATTTTTTAAAGGTTTTGGAATATATGTTTTTAATGCAACTGCTTGATTTAATTTCTCATCTGTATTATATTTCACAGAACAATTAAGTTTCCAATGTATGATTCTTCTCTGTCAGGCTAGGCTTTCACTTGTCATCAGATGAAATTGATAATGTGTATTTGATATATTCTGCAGTCAATTCTCAGAAAAATGTTGGATTAAAAAGCACTTCAACCAATACAAAGACTGCTCGAAATAATGCAAAATCTGTTCCTGCTGGAAAACCAAATGTAAAATCTACTGCTCAGCAAGCAAGAAGAAATGTGGTTAGAACCTAAAGCTCTACAAGTTACAGTCACTGTGAATCAACCCATCAAGTTTTGTCTGATAAACCAGGCTGCAAATTTTGTAATACAATCGCTTCCTTAATATCTAACACACGTGTCTTTCCTTTGCTGTATACTTCTAAAGGTGAAGGTCAGCTCAGTGCCTGAAACACATTCATCATCCAATCTGCAACTTCCCCAGGTTAGGCAGGCAAATAATAGCTCAGAAGTAGTTCCAGCTGCTGCTCATCCTTCGACTGCCAATGATAGCAATACCAGCAAAATTGCAGTTTCGTTCTCTCAAAATGCTTCTAGTAATGGTGGAAACATGCAACATATACAACCTCAAACAACAAAGCCAACTGGCTTGCGAATGCCATCACCATCACTAGGATTCTTTGGTCAGGTAAGCTGATTTAGAGAATATCAGATAATTATATAATTAAAATGAAAATAAAACTTACTAGTTAAACATATCAAACAGAAATGATTTTTAGTGTTTCAAAATGTTTGATCAGATGCCAAGCCATTTCTCATCCCCTTTTCTCATTTGTGAAATTGCTTTGCAGTCAAAACCTTCTGGTTCGTATAGCCTGTTGCAGAGAAGTAGTCAGTCCTGCAATCTTCCCGAGTCTAATATTCCTAATTTTAGCAAAGCTAGTGCCTTAAATCCTATTCATCAAAGGCCCTCACGACCGTCTGGGAATACATCTGCATGCCCAAGTAAATCACACTCTGTAGCATCTACTGTTGATGCTGCATCATGTGGAAAGATCAAAACCAACTTGGGGTTGAATAATATGAAGGAGGTGGCATTGCAGGAAAAACATAACTCTGAGAGTAATTATATTATGAATCATCAGCAGCAGATGCAAAACTATCATAATGATGTTGATCCACAATCTCTACGTCAAGCAGAACCATGTAAAATCAAAAGGATCTCTTGCATGGATCATATTGCACAGCAGAGCAACAATAATGAGTTCTCCTTAGAGTGTGATCCATGTGAACAATTAGAAAAAGATTCTGACAGTAGCATTGTTGATGTTAGCATCAGTAGTACAGATTCTAGTGGTGCTTCCTTAGACTATCTGCAGTCCATGCCCCCTCTTTGCCTCCCAGTGGAAGATGAAGATCCTTGTAAGGCAAACAATAAGATTGTGAACCAACTTGTGGAAACACAGCACGATGCATCTACGGAGAATCAAAATGTCTGTACAGAGTCGCGGCATAAAGATGTGAAAAATAACTGCGACAAGGCAGCTTCAAAAGTGCATGAAGATCAGCTAAGTGGCATGCATGAAGCCAAGCCTGAGACATGCAAGCGGAGGAAGCCTGACACTTGTGAAGTTGATTTAATCTCTAATGCACAGAGCCAGGGGATGAGTAGTACTTTGTTTGAGGACAGAATATCTTTGGAAGATCTTAATAAATACAATAAGCCAAATGCAGATGCTGGACCGAAAGTTCTAGAGTGTGATTCTACTTCATGTTGTCTATCATACTGTACGGTTTTAAAGCCTAGAAAAGATGGCATTACTGGAATTGATTATGAAAGTAGGGGATTGCATGCTGGAGATGCACAAATGTTGGTTGAATGTAGCAAGAATTTAATGAGCACTTCAAAAGTGGATGGTTCAAACTTCATGACTATTGATGACCCAAGTGCAAAATCTGCAGAACAAGCTGAGCTTCCAAATTCCTGTCCATTAAAAGAAAAAACTTCTCAGGAAAATTACACACCACTTTTTAATGGCTTCTTTTTGAATGAAAAATGCTATGAAGAGTCCCAAGAGAAAGATGTCCTTCAGAATTTCAGTTCTGTTGAATCAATAGGAACTGATGCTAGTGGAGGTGAATTAGGAAGCTCTAACTTTCTTTGTTCAACATTACCTGTTAATGAAGACCCTGGTCTTGATAAAGCTGGAGAAAGCAAGACTGGAGAGATGGAGTGCCTACATGTTGACAATGATTTAATAGATTCTGCAGATGGTAACCCAGTTGCGGAAAATGCTTTAATAGCTTCTACAGATAGTAAGTCAATGGTCGAAAATGCTTCAACAGCTATTTATGAGTCTAATGCTTTGGCATCGGAAGGGATGGGCAAAAGCCATATGATTGTTGCAGTCATCGCTGGCAGTATCACCGTGAATGATTGTTGTCCAAATATAGGAGATCATAGTGGGAGTGAACTTGAAAATCCCCATGTAACATCCCAAATTAGCTCTGTCATGCAAGGTAAGGTTGCTTCTGGGATGAATGATATAATTGAGCATGAAGATGCAATGGACGATAATTCTGATTCTTCAGCAACAAATTTCACTGAGTTTTCTTGTTTAAAGACAGGGAATGATGCTTGTTACAGTGAAAGGGGCATTTCCATACAGCACATGGATTGCTCTAGTGATATGCATGAGATGAAAGAACAGCCTATAGAACAAGCTAAGCTGATAAATTCCTTTTTTCGGGAAGCTGAACTGGTGAATCAGAGTCGAGATGTTTTTTATGAGAGCAAATCCTTTGAAAGTGGATCTCAAGTTCCTCAAAGTACAGACCAATGTGAAATCATGGAAAATGAACTTGCTGGGGTTGATAACATGATCAAGGAAACACTTGGGGAAGATTCAGAAGTACAGTCCTTACATCATTGTCTGTTAACTGATAGCTGCAACAGTAATGTTAGTGTCTCAGGGGCAGATAAATATTCCTTAGGGGTTGATGATATCAGTAGACAGCCTAAAGAACATCCCGAGCTTCAAAATCTTGATCAAGAAGTTGGTCCTGAAAATCATGGGTTGTGTTCAGATGATAATTTGTTGCTGATGAATGCTTCTATTGAATCTCTGGAGAAAGAAATTCTTGAGAATGTTTCAGGCGCCAGTTTAGAACAAGGCAATGATTTACCCAGTGAATGCACTCTATTACTACCTCAAATGTGTAATGTTGGTTATAATGTGGATAAAAATGCTGAGCACCCATCAATGGAGCCATCAGATGAAAATATTGAATGCAGTATGGATTGTGAGATCAGAAATGATTACGATCTTGACAATCAAGCTCGACCTTTTAATTCTGGTTCATCCTCCGAGACAAATGGAGATAAGATGCCATTGACTGCAAATACTTTTAACTCTAAGCCTTTCTGCGTTTTGAATGAAAAAGCAAATGAGACATTAAATCGGAGTATCCAGCAGGCCATAGAAGTCAATTTGTTAGAGAATGATATTTTTCCAGCGGAATCTGAGGTTAACATTCACCAAAGCAATGGTGGTAATAACAGTGAACTTCAAGATGGGTTAGCCAGTGCTGTGTCCTCTGAAGTAGTTGAGGATGCAACTGTCTCACAGTAAGTTCCATAACCCAAGTCTTATTGGTGCATATGTACGATCCATGTTTCCTCTTGCCAACTCTTTAACCTTCTCTTTAGGCGCAGTATAGATTTTTCAGAATTCGTACAACATGCATTTTAAATCATTTGTTCATACGTTATTGCAGCAAGGAATCTGTGGATGAGGACAAGCAAGATGCACTTGTAGCAAGGCCTCCACCAAACGCTGTTCCTTTTTCAGATGAATGGTTAGCAGCTTTTGAAGCTGCTGGAGAGGTACTTAACTCATTCCTTGTGGACTAATTTTACAAGGAAAAAATATTATGACCTAATGCAAAGTTTTCTGCAGGAGATTCTAGCCAAGAAAAGTGGCGCTGTACAAAATTCACCACCGGACAAGTCTCTACCTGAACCTGGTCCTTGGTCCCCGGTACAAAATCCTATATCCTAGATAATTATTTTTATAAGCCTGTGCCTGCTAATTATCTTAATATTTTATGCCGTTTACATACATTGAAATAGTAATACAAGTATTATAACCTGTCTTCTACCCAAAAAACTTAAAGATACTTTGTTTGCTTTAACATGACAGTTCAAAACAACTTGGAAATCCTGTATCTACTCTTTTGCCTTTTCATTTTGCTGTCCTGTGCTTGTAGATTCTTTTTGAAACAGTCTAATTTTGTTTTGGAAAACATCAGGTTAGTTGTTGATATGTTTGCATAGAATCTTCTCTTGATTTTGTTAAAGCAGTTCTTGAAAATAATCATGACAGGCATCAATTATTGACATTGTGAGCCTGTTTGGCATTATTATTGAAACTATTTTCCAATCCTTCAAAAAAGAAATTTCGAAAATCACCTCCTTAGAATGCTGTATAGCTTCTTTTTTAAGATTTTATGATTATTACATGTGAAAATTCGCATTAAAAACAAACTTCAATATTCTCTAATCAACTTTTTTAGCAAAACGTTTCTTCTTGACATTAGCATGACTATCAATGCCAAACACACCCCATACACATTTTTTTCCTTCAACAATAAAAGGCATTAATTTCTGGGTTATCTCTCTCTTGCTCATGTTTGTCATCTTTTAGCATTAATAAGGTTGTTTTGGGAAGGAATAGTTGAAAAAGGCAAATTCTTGGTTACCAATTGTCCTGCAAATTTTATGAAAGAACAGATATATTTCCCATATTCTTTTTCTTGGTATATAATTTGAAGTATTTTTTCAGGTAAGGCGGAAAAACAACCAAGGGATAGGACCGTACGACTGTACAAAATATACCAACACCAACATCCCATCTTCCGCTTCCGACTGAAGAGACTAGGTTCGAGGTAAAGGAGCAAAGGGTTATTTGACACTTGAAACATTCAATATTTGCCAACAAGAATAGCCCTCGTTCCTGTGGCAGTTGAGAATACATTTCAGCTAATCATTCTTTTCTCATTGACAACCTGATTGACCGAAATTTAAACACTTAACAAAAAAAAAAAAAAAAAAAAAAAAAAAAAAAAAAAGGAGCAAAGGGTTATTTGACACGTTGAAACATTCAATATTTTGCCAAACAAGGAATAGCCCTCGTTCCTTGTGGCAGTTTTGAGAAATACATTTCAGCTAATCCATTCTTTTTTCTCATTGGACAACCTGATTGACCGAAATTTAAACACCTTAAACAAAAAAAAAAAAAAAAAAAAAAAAAAAAAAAAAAAAAAAAAAAAAAAAAAAAATTTGCAGCAAGATGCTGCTTTCCCACTGTTACCTCTATCTTAGAGAGGTAGTTCTTTTATTCTTTTTGTTGTGCCATTAATGAGAAACCAACTTGACATTTTTCACACAAATGTACTTCTGTTTGACATCCGGTAGACTGATGTGTCTTTGTGGAAGTGTTGCCGAAACCGTAGTGATTTGAAAACTGGACCAAACTGCCCGGCTAGAACAGTCAAACTGGGAATTGGCTGTGATCTATCATATTTTCAATTTAAGATACAATACTATATGTATACACATAATTGTTTTGATAAAAAATTCAATGCTGATTGTTGGTTGGTCCATTGAACCAGTCAGCAGACAGGTTTAATTACGAGTATTTTAAAAACACTGCATATTGGTAAAAAGCTCATTTGTCAGAATTCATTTTTGCAAAATGCAACTTGTTTGCATAAAACTTCAAATTTAAAAATTAAAAAGCCACGGCAAGAAACATTAAATATCAAAATCAAATATTAAAAATTAGATGATCAAATTTACTAAATATACTTTACTTTAAAAGTTAAAAATTAAAAAGTAAAATGGTAAAAAAAGAGAGAAATATTTAGTCTAAACTTATATTGTTTTTAACTTTTTTTTTTTACCCTTTTTAATTGGTTACTAAGTTTAAAATTACATTATTTTGAAGCATTTTTCAAAATTTTCTTATAATTTATGTTATTAATAACATTTAAATAAAATAAAGTGATAACTTATTTAATTATTTAGTAAAATTAATTAATTTTATTCTTATATGAGTATGAGCATTCAAAAATTTATTTAAAATAAAATTTATCAATATTTTTTAAACTCATATTAATGTTTTCGAAAGAGAGATGTAACATTAAACCGATTTTTTTTTTTTAAAAAAAAACATATATCGCCGGAAATCATGATCGAAACCGTCGGTTCATTGGAATCCCGCCGGAATTGGCCGGAACCAGCAGTTCAAGGGCCGATTTAGGTTCAACATTTTAAAAATTTTGAATCATCGGTTCCGTAAACTAGAACCGGCGGTTCAATGAACTGGCTATGCCTACCTAATTGTGAACTTATTATTTATAAGGAATGTAGAATAGGGAATATTATAAGGCTATGTTTAATTGGATGTAATGCAATGCAATGTAATTAAAGACGTAAGCAATGTAATTAAAGACGTAATGCAATGAAAAATGTAATGGAGTGTAATGTAATTAAGATTCCATTATAATGTTTGGTAATGTAATTGAGAAAATTTATGAAATGTAGTCACTATTCCATTTTTATGTTTGTTTGTAAATATGTAATGTAATGTAATTAAAACACTACCACCACCAAACATATCGTCCCACTCCTTCACCACCCACCACCACCACCACCACTACAACCACCACCATTCCACCACCACTACCACCCCAAACGCCACTCCACCACCACCATCACCTCAAATAATTTTTTCATATTTGACAAATGAAAATAATAAATAACAACAGTATCAAAGATATAATATATATATATATATATATATAAATTTTAGAAATCCTTGAGTCGTTACTCTATTTTTATTTATATGAAAACAATAATTATAGAAATTTGGTTTGACATAATAACTATCATTCTATTGTCTGGATCATTTATTCTGGTTAATAAATTTTTTATAATTGAAACTAACGTAGCAAGATGTGAAATTTACTACTAAGTAACGTCAGCAAGATGTGAATTACTACAAGTTTGATAAATAATTTATTTCATTTACAATAATTTTTTTCAAACAATAAGTTTGATAAATAACTGAGTTTCAAATAATTGCTCACGTCTAAGCATAGCCTGTCTATTTTTTAAAACAATTGGAATTTATTTCAATTTTCATGCGGATTTAGAAACAATAATCAATATTATTTGAATAATAAGTTTTATACCCTTGTACATATCTTTTTATTTTGGTGCTACTTTGTTTGTAATTAGCTCAGTACCAATATTCAATTAAAAAATTCATTGTTTTAATTTTCAACTTATTATTGGTACGTTAAAAAAGAGAGTAAATCAAACTTGATTATTTTAATTAAATTCAAATGAGTTTTAAACCATTTTAAACTTATGGCATTTTAGCAAACATAATACGATCATTAAATTTTCGTAAATCATAAAACTAAAACCAAAATTGTTGTAATTACAAATTTCATAAATGAGAAAAATGTCTCATTGTGAATAGGTTGAATATTATTAAATGAGCCGATTATTAGGATTGAATTTATTAGCAGTGATTTTACCACTTACTATTTTTACATATTCAAATGCATACATGAAATGTAAGATCTAAATACATAGGTGGCAGAGTGGTTGAGATGTTGGTGGTGGTGGTGGATTAGTATGGTGTTTGAGGTGGTGGTGGTGGATTAACGGTGGTGGTGCAGCGGTGGTGATGGATTATTGGTAGTGATTGGGGTGGTGGAGGTGGTGGTGGTGATGATTGGGGTGGTGATAAGGGTGGTGGAGCAGTGGTGGTGGTAATGGATTATTGATGGTGATTGGGGTGGTGATAAGGGTGGTGGAGCAGTGGTGGTGGTAATGGATTATTGATGGTGATTGGGGTGGTGATAAGGGTGGTGGAGCAATAGTGGTGGTGTGATCAAGCAGTGGTGGTAGTGTGATCAAGCGGTGGTGGTAGTGATGGCTAAGGTAGTGGTGGTCGTGATACAATGGTTGAGGTTGTGGTGGTGATACAGTAGTTGAGGTGGTGGTAATGGTGGAACAATGATGGTGGTTGTGGTGGTGAGGTGGTTGTGTTAAATAGCCTTTAATGGTAAAGTTTTTATTGGGATAGTTTGGTGTAATTGGTATTAGTATTACATTTGTTTGATGTAATGGATAATACATGTATTTTTTGATATAATAAATATTAAATTAATTTAAGTGATGAAGATTACATATGAAATATCAATTACATTACATTGTCTAAAATAAGTTTAACCAAATAATGTAATCAATTATATAATGTAATCTCCATTCCATTACATGATTGATTACATCAAATCAAACATGGGTTAAAATTTGTACTTAATTAATACTGTTTTATATGTATATTTAATGCATTGAACATTTAGAAAAGAAAAAATAATTAAAATTTACAAATTTAATTTTTATATCTTGACGAGGTTGAATATTTAAAATTTAATTTTCTGGCTTGACATTTTATCAAAATTACCTTATGTGTTCAAAGAAAGAAAAAAAATCAATTGCCTAAATCTTTTTACATTTGAACCTTGAAGTCCACACATAAAATGTAATCTGGCTTGAGAAAAGGGATTTAGAAGAATATTTTCGAGAAAGAAAGTAATAATTAGTGGTTAATATTTTATTACCTACAAAGATATGCTTATTTCTACTTTCATATATATTAAAAAAGTAAATTATATCTTTTGAACAATAAATTTTATCCATATTTTTATTGATATATTCCTATATTAATATTAAATGTTAAAGAACTAAATGGAAAAATAGTTTTTCCTTAAAAAAAAAAAAAGGGGATTGTTGATAACAAGTCATATTAAATGAGGATATATTAAATAATTGAAAATTTAATTATATTTCCGAAAAAGGGTCATTTTCTTTTTTAATTTTTTGCTTAGTTGTTGATAGAGTGACCTAGAAGACTATATATTTTTTGACACAGATATAAAAAGCTAATGAGCCCTTTGCTTCTTCTCAAAAAACAAAAAAAAAAAAAAAAAAAAAAAAAAAAGCTTTTCCTTTTTTTAGACAATATGCAAAAAGAACGAAATGCTTGAAAAATTAAAATTCATAACGATTTGTCAATATCGCAATATAATATATCAATAAAATCCACTTAATTCTGAATACATATTTCGTACCCAAGCGGTTTGAAAAGTCATTTTTATATAAGTAAAATTTTGATAACAGTTCATACCTATGTATATAAATTCACAAGCTTTATGCATTCAAAGAACCCAAAAAAAAAAAAAAAAAAAAAAAAAAAAAGAAACTGACATATTCTGTTTTGACTGAATTGTACAACAAAGATGACAGAAAAAAGTAATTATTCCACATTCTGATACTTGTAAAACTTGGCACATATTAGAAAATAAGCAAAGTTTAATGAGCCAAGCACAAACAACATCCAATAAACATAATCTAGCCTGCCATTGTTTATATTATCTGGTAACCAAGATGTAGTCTTTTGAACCAGATCAACCACTGCAGAGCTTAAATAGTATGCAATTCCCATATTCAGAGCACTCATAGCAGTTGCTGTGCTTCCTACTGACTTTGGAGATTCTCTGTAATATAACGTTACTTGTCCTGGATAATGGAATGCTTCTCCAATCCCAACGACAGCTAATTGTGGCACTAGCCATAAAACTGATATAGGAACAACCCCATTAAGGTTATGGGTTACTGCTACTTTTCGCCTTTTCGACTCCACTAGAGCTGCAACTGCCATTCCTATCACATTAAGCACATGGCCTGCTCCAATTCGTTGAAGGGGAGTTGGTGATCGATGAGTCAGTTTCTGCCATACTGGATAGACGAATCGGTCAATCAAAGCAAGAGATATTGCAGCGGAGGTTAATACAAAGACTATCACTGATCCTGCTGGGAATTTGAAACTTGATCCAATATGACGGTCCATAGAAAGTGCTTGGAGGATTGTTAAGCTATTCAAGACTCCAATTGGGGTGCTCAGGAAAATCCCACTTGATAATACTGGAAAAATCCTCATTACAGATTTTAGGTCCTCCACTTGCTGCACTGAACAAAGTCTCCATGGATTTGCAGTGGAGGTGGAGCCATTTAATTTAATGTCGCCTTCAGTCTTCTGTGCTGCCTTGTTCAGGAACCTGCATTTAAGTTACAGAAACAACAAGTTTAGAATTAAATGACAATGGAGAGCTTAACCATTTTCAGATATTGAATAGTAATGTACGTACCTAAAGCTTTTAGTTGGTTCTGAAACCTCAGTTTCCATTGCCTGATTATGTCCAAAGTAGTAATCTTCCATTCTAGATGAAAGTTGAACTTTCCTTTTTCGAACAGCTGCAATAATAACACGAAATAAGCTCGTAAATGGGCTCCCCTCCAGCTTAATATGGCAATAGTAACGATTTCCCCAAAGGAAAAATGCTAAGCCAACCATGTTAGCACCAACAGATAGGCCAAACCCTAATCCCCAACTTACATTATCCTGTATATAGACAATAACAGTTGCACCTGTTACTCCTGATGCATACAAAATCACCACAAACCAATTCATAAAAAACCCTTGATCCTTGACATTATCAAATTGGTTCGCTCCCATTGTTGCTATGGCAAATCGCGACCCCCCTTGGCCTATTGTAGTTAGGGCGATACCCGAGTACAAGACAGCGAATTGTAAAGTTGTTGGAGTGGTGCATGAGCTTGATCCGTTTCCACAGGGTTGAGGCCTCAAGGTATGCAGGATCGCCGTCAGGCTTAGAAGAAATATGCCCTGCAAGTTTACAGATGGGTGAAACTATGATTTGGTAATGAATGGTGAATTTTAGACTCGGAGATTAGAGCTATTACTATTAAAGAAAAGACAGAAGAAACCCAGATAACCGAAAAACAGCCTAGAAAGGAATCTGCAATGATGCCTGCAATAACTGGAAGGAGACTACTACATCCATTGACAATGTTGAAGATTTGAGTAGCCTCTATGCTCTTCACATTAAATTTCTCGATCAAATACACAACTAAGTTCGACATTGATCCGGCTATTGCTATTGTCAATCCCGCCAATGTTCCTGTTTTTAATGCAGAAACCAAAGTAACTATTAGTTATTTTCTGGGTTTATATTCGAAAGGGAGAAAGTGAAAGTGAAAGTGAGTGAGCTATACCTGCGATGAAAGGGAAGGTGATCCAGCCTCCAGTTTTCCTGTTAGAATCTGAAATCTGCATCTCTCCATCTTCTGCCATGCTCCTACTAGGATGAGTTGCTAGTGCTTACAAGTAAGTGTTAATTGCTGCAATTGAATTATATATCTTCTTAAAGATTATTCAATTAAGCTTCCATATTGTTTTGCACTAGTTGATTGATGTAAACTGTGTTAGAATTGTATGCTATATGAAAAAGCAACTATTATTTTTCTGCATTACAATTAATTAGTATCTTTATCTCAGTTCCATTTACTATGGAAAGCTCTGTTGATGGCAGTAGAAGATGCTTCCTGTAGTGATATTCCACCTGATGGATTTCTGTCATATTAGTATAGCAAAATGGTAATGTGTCAGAGTTCAAATGATTGTTTCCAAATTGAAGATGATTTGAATGGTAGCTGTGAGGAGGTCTATAACTCTGCTAGAAGCTAAACAGCCATACCAAACACCTACTAGAAGTTTATTTGCCTCTTGAGTTCGTTCGCGCAATTTTTTACCTAAAATTGAAGTTTTAGATTCATTTTAGCAAGAATTTTCAACCAGGATCAATTTAACCAGGGGTGAACAAAAGGGCCATGGCCTCTCAAAAAAAAAAAAAAAAAAAAAAAAAAAAAAAAAAAAAAAAAAAAATTCTTTGGCAAATAACCCTCAAATTTTGCTTTTTTCCTTTTTTTTTGCTTAAATTTCGACAGCATATGGTCCCAAAAAAAAAAAAAAAAAAAAAAAAAAATTCTTGCAAATAACCCTCAAAATTTTGCCTTTTTCCTTTTTTTTGCTTAATTCGACAGCATGGTCCCCAGTTGGCTCCTCAATAATTTTTCCCAAGGTTCATCACTGAATTTGGCCTTCTTTTTTCTGGCTAGTCAATGCGCGTGAGAGACAAATAATAACAAGATGGTTTTCTATCAACTTAAATAAGTTATCCATCTTCACTTAATAACATCGTCAACACCTTTATTCCAGTAAAAAATGGATCCAATTGGATTGAAAGTTCCTGTCAAGATCGATTCAAAAGTTCAATTTTGAGTAAATTGTACATGTGATCAAGTTGAAGGAAAAAAAAAAAAAAACCTGTGTGAAATTTGTGATTAAAACATACCAGATCACCTTGAAATAAAATTTAATGACTTTTGATCAATTTCTTCAATAAAAATTGTATTTTAGAATTTGAAGCAGTTTACTTGGAATTATTAGAGCGTGTATTACGGAGCGAATTATGTAATGCTGTAATTATGTGAATATTCTTTAGATATCGAATCTGCTGTATAAATAGTTGTTTCTATAAATATACACTATACAATCACTCTATTGGTCTAGTAGTTGAAGCACGCTATACTCTATTCTATCCTAGTTATTACCAAAATGTGACATTGGTGACCAAAATTTGAAAAAAAAGGTACAGGAAAGAAAATATATAGCAATTGTTACATTCAGCTTTCATTAACAGAATTGCCTTTTGGATATTCTGATATTTATACAACTTTGCATAAAAAGATTAACAAAAGTTTCCCAATATACGTTATCTAGCCTTCGATGATCCATACTATCCGGTAAATAATTTGTAACCCTTCTCATAAGATCAATCAAAGCTGCGTCTAAATAAAAAGAAATCCCAATAATAAAAAAAAAATCATAGCAATTGCTGTAGTAAACAGCGAATGAGGAAATTCCTGATAATAAAATGCGACTTGTCCCGGAAAATGAAATACTTCTCTAATATCAACTAAAATTAGTTGCGGAAATAGCCATAAGGCATGCATAGGCATTGCAGTAGAGTTGCCTTTGACACTATCTGAATATTGAGCATGAGCTTGTTTAAGTCTCCTTGACTCCACTAAAGCAGACACAACCGATTAGTACTATAACTGAAATAGAGCTTGAATAACATTTAAGTTGACTTGGATTTGCATTGCTATATGAGTGCTTAAAAATATTGCGTTGACCAAATTGGGAAGATCCTTATCAGAGTTTTCAAATCTTCTACTTATCGCATGGTGCATAGTTTTCAGGGTTTTGTAATTGAGCCATCGGGTTTTGTTTCTCCCTTAGCTTTAAGTGTTGCTCGGTTGAAAAACCTGCTTTGTTAGACCAAATATTTATTTTTTCATTTTGTTGTAGTAATATAATAATAATTTTTAGAATCTTCTGGTTTGTCTTGTCATGTGCTATAAAACATGTAAGGATTAGGAGGTCTAAGCTTCCAGACTTCTTATTCTCTACTAATATCATTGCTCATTTGATAAATATTATTAAAATCAGATGACTATCTCTGCTTTGTAGACTATAATATTATCTCAGTTTATGAGTAATAATAATAATAATAAAAATCAGACAATGTTCGATGAGTCTACTTAATGGAACATAACGTATTGTGCCTCATCCTAATTTGTTGTGCACATTTTCAATTAGATCTATTTGTTGATGAACACTCAGTGTATGCCCTTAATCATAAGCTCCAAGACATTATTCCCAATCTGTATAATATTAAAGTTGCTTTTGCTAGAAAATATTTAAAATAATGTTATCAAAAGACCAACATAATTCTAATGATAAGCTCCAATAATCTTATGATCTCACCAACTGTCATTCCTCTATCTACAACGTTTGGTCAATTCCTAATTGTCTTTCCTTGGAATTTGAAATGCAGTTTCCATTTTTTATACAACTTACGCAGATATGGTGGAAACAGACAATCATATGTCTTATGATTAATTAAATTATTGAGTATACTTATTATTAAATTATTAGATAAAGTAGAAATATATATTTTATATTGAATTTGATTGCAATATGATTTAATAAAAAAATTATTCTCTCTTTTCTTTTCCCTAATTTTTCAAAAAAAAAAAAAAAAATTGTTTGAATGAATAGTTGGAAATGCAATAATTAAAATTTGATATTTGAATTGCAAAATCAAACAGACTTATAACCACATGCCATTTTATATAATTAAATTATTTTATTGAATTTTAAATCCAGAAAAAATTTAATATATTTAAGTATTTAAACCCTAAATCATAACGCTCTCCGTTTACACCTAACTTATCTTGAACATGGGCTAAGTAAAAAAAAAAAAAAAACCTGGAATAACCTTAACATACAATTCAGAAATCCTTCTTGAGATGAGAAAGAATTCTGTAACAAACCAAAAGAATCCATCGAACTCAGAGTATCCTAATAAATTACAACCAAGCCAGAAATTCATTATTCGCTTCAACCCCTTTCTTTGCCAAAGTAATTTGACACATAGAATCAAATCTGTTAAACAATCTCCACCGTTTCCAAGGTCTCTTCTCTAATTTTGGCAGCAGAGCTAGAGATTTCTGGTGTTTCAGGGTCATCCATCAATTGTATAACCTTGGTATTGGTTGTATTTTATGTGAAATGTGTCGTTGACGAAGAGAGAGTAGGTCTCAAATAACGCAAAGGTGGTGGTGTTGGTGCAGCACAGTCGTATTGTGGTCCTTCAACTAAAGGATTTTCAATTGGTTCTAAGTAACAAATGGGTTTAGCTAACTGGTTGTCGCGTAAGGAAAACAGGAAACTCAGCAAACGCGTCTGCAAAGTTCAAGCTATTCATTATTAGTATCTGGACATGATAATGAGTTGGGCAGTAAATGAATCAAACCATTTGGAAACAGTTTAAGAATCGGTTTGATAAAAACTCAACTCGGTTGAATGATTTAAGACCCGATTAGATGAAAATAATATTAGAAAAATAGAAAATGCACTTTAAAAACTACAAATAAAAAAAATACAATATTAATTACATAGTAAGTATAAAAAGCAACAAATAACAATAGAGCCCGCATAGGATTGGAAAACCTCCATTTTGCATGGTATATATATTGTTTACCATTTTGTATTTTATTCGATCGATTAATTATTTTAATTTATTTATTTTTAAATTCATTAATTATTTGATCTGAATTTGGATTAATTAAATATCGTGACTTTGTGAGATAAAAAGATAATATTCAAATTAATTTAAAAAATAATTTAAATAATTAACAAAAGGATTTTAATGAATTAATTATTTAATTAAGATGTGTAAATATAAATTATCTTAAAGTGATGAAATACTGGAATTAGTTACACAAGTAATAGACATCAAGTGGAGAAAATGAACAAAGAAATAGATCACGATCTTCAACGTCCACAATCAGAGTATGCATTTATGGAGGTAAATCCTGTTCAAAAAAGTGCAAATTAATATGAAAGAAGTGGGTGCTTTAGGACATTCAATAGAAGCTAGGAATGGGTTTTGACAATAATATTTCCAACTTGCAAGAAGAGCAAACTTGTCATATATACTTCTTCTATTTTCTATACATGTTGCAATGCTAAAGATAGAACAAAAAATTGAAGACAGAACAGGTAGAAAGAAGGTTTTCAAGGGACCTGAGTTTTTGTTTGGTTGATTTTGCGTAAGTGGGGTTCTAAAACAGCACTCACTTAGAAGCTTATATGGGAAATGTTAGAATATGAACGGAGTATCGATTCAGTTGGTGCCCTAAGAAGGAAAAGTACGTGTTCTTCCAAAAGTGCATTGCTATATTCTGTTAAAAAATCTAGCAGTCTAAGTTGTGGAGAATATACAGAAGCGAACATTATTTTCCTAGTTGTCTAATCTTGTTTGCTTAAACTTCATCTTACCTCTGTTAATAGACGCATCTGATGGACATGACATTTGCCTGGAAAATATAAAGGCTTTCTTCTATTCATAAGCTCCATGAAGATGCAAACAACTGACCGTATATCTATTGCAGAAGTGTAGTCTGGAGGGAGCAGCAAAAGTTCAGGAGCTCTATACCAACTGATAAAAACTCCTTGCCATGGCCAAAATCGCAATCTCCGGTCTATTTAAGCTAGAGCAATACCTATACTTGAGTACAAGAAAGTGAATTTGTAAGGTTGTTGGAGTTGTGCACATGAGCTTGATTCATATTTCGCAGGGTTGAGGCCTCAAGAAATACAGGATCACCGTTAAGGTTAAGAGGAATAAGCCCTGCAAGCTTAAAAGTTGTTCTTCTACAATAACGTTTTCATAAACTCATTCTTCGAAAGTACGTATAGGTGAATATAAAATCTCTCGTAGCAATTTCTTTCTTTTTGACTTCTCACTTGTCTGTAAGTACCATTAAATATAATTATGTTGTTGATTGGCTAATTCCATTTGCTTCAACTTAACACATATTGAATTCGCAGTTCCAAAATATTTGATGCCGTTTTCTCCACTTTTAATACTTAATCTCAAAATAGGAAATTAACTTCTTTTTCCATTTTACATAAATTAAAGCTAAGGTTTATTCTAAACAAGAAAAATAAATAAAAGCTAAGATTTTTTTTTGAAACTTATAATTTTAATTAATAAAATCAAGAAAAACTTAACATAAAGATTTAATACTAGCACAGACGAGTTGGTCTACCCCATATATCTAAATCTAGAATCTTAATGGTAAGTGAAAAATCCTACAATAAAAACATTAAAAGATAAAATATTAACAAGAAATTGATGGTTAACCCTCCAAATTGTAGAACAAGCATAAGAAATAGCAACTCTAGCTAAATAATGAGCCACCATAATAAAGCTAAAATTTAATTAATAGAGAATATTGGTTGTTCACATAAAGTATAGTTCTCTGTTTGATAACCGAGAATTGAGATACCAACAAGTTGGAAAAAAAAAGAAAAGAAAAGAAAAGAAAGATAGAGATAATTACATTCGGGTGTTTTCACCTAAAGAACCTGAAGAATTCTCACCTGTGGCCTTTTGGACATTCTGATATCGATACTTGTAGAACTTAGCACAAGAAAGATAATAACAAAAGTTAACCATCCCTATTACTGCTAGCACCCAATATACATTATCTAGCCTTCCATGATTAATATTATCTGGTAACCAGTTTGTAACCCTTCTGATTAGATCAATCAATGTTGTGCTTAAATAATAAGAAATCCCAACAACCAAAGAAATCATAGCAGTTGCTGTACTTCGCAGCGAATCAGGAAATTCCTGATAATAAAATTCGACTTGTCCCGGATAATGAAATGCTTCTCCAATACCAACTAGAATTAGTTGCGGAAATAGCCATGAGACATGCATAGGCACTGTAGTAGAGTTGTCTTTGACACTATCTGTATATTGAGCATGAGCTAGTTTAAGTCTCCTTGACTCAACTAAAGCTGATACAGCCAAGCTTAGCACATTAATCACATGGCCTATTCCTATTCTCTGGAATAGAGTTGGCGTTTTTCGCGTTAGCTTTTGCCATATTCGGATGAGAATACGATCATTTATGGCGAGAAAAATTGAAGTACTAATTATTACTACGACTGGAATAGAGCCAGCTGGGATTTTGAAGTGGTGTCCAAGTCGACGATTCATTATTAGAGCTTGAAGGACAGATAAGCTGCCTTGCATTATTAATATAGGAGTGATTAAAAATAATGCTGTTGACCAAATTGGGAAAACCCTTATGAGAGCCTTCAAATCTTCTACTTGTTGCACTGTGCACAATTTCCAGGGTTTTGCAATTGAGCCATCAGGTTTTATTTCTCCCTCAGCTTTCAGTGCTGCTCGATTGAAAAACCTGCTTTGTCAGACCAAATATTTAATTAATTTCTTTTGTATATGATAATATTCAAAAAAAAAAAAAAATCGATTTGAAAAAACCTGTTTCTTCTGGTCAGAGCAATATTTAATTAATTTCTTTTGTATAATGATAATATTCAAAAAAAAAAAAAAAAGATAAAATTTAATTTTTCCACCTAGAGTTAAAGATGATATTATTGGCAATCTGTATAATATTAAAGTTGCTTTTGCTGGAAAATATTTAAAATATGTTAATTCTAATTTTTAGCTCCAATAATCTTAAGATGTCACCAACTACCATTCCTCTATTTATTCCTAATTGTCTTTTCTGGAATTTAAAATCCATTTTCCATTTTTTTATACAACTTATGCAGATATGGTGGAAACAGACAATCAATGTCTTATGATTAATTAAATTATTGAGTACATTTGTTATTAAATTATTAGATAAAATAGAAATATATATTTTATATTGAATTTGATTCCAATATGATTTAATAAAAAATTATGCTCTCTTTTATTTTCCCTAATTTTTCAAAAATAAAAAATAAAAAAATAAAAAAATTTGTTTGAATTAATAGTTGGAAATGCAATAATTAATATTTGATATTTGAATTCTCAATCATGCTTCTAAATATGTTTTTCTTCGTCCTAAATCTCTTATAATTAAATTATGATTCAACCATCCTTTTATTATTAAATTATTGGATAGAGCAGAAATACATTTTATTTTTGAATTAGATTCCAATATGATTAAAAAAAAAATTGCTCTCTTTTGCTTAAATTTTCAAAACAAAAGATGTATTTGATTACAATATTTAATATTTGGTATTTGAATTCTCAACCATCCTATATTTTAAGCCATATTTATAAATTAATATTTAAATTTGAGTTTGAATATTCTCCTTTATACTAAAAAAATAAAAAGATTGTCTTAATGAACTTTTAAACCAAGAAAGTAATTAAGGAATATAAACCAAAAATTAAACTCATATTTATTAAGATCATACCTGCAACTCTTTGTAATTGAAGCAGAAACTTCATTTTCTTTTAAATCTTGCTCAAGGTAATAGTCTTCAGTTGTAGAAGACAAAGAGGCCTTTCTCTTTCGTATAGCAGCAATAACAACACGTGCTAAGCTAGTGAATGGGCTTCCATGTGGCTTATAATGTCTATAGAATCGATTTCCCAGAAGAAACATCACTATACCAATGAAATTAGCAGCAAGAGATAGCCAAAACCCTAAAGCCCAACTGACATTATCTTCTATATAGACAATGGCAGTGGCACTTATTAGAGAAGCAATGTATGAGGTGAAAAAAAACCAATGGAAAAAACTGCTCTTATCTTCTTGTTTATCAAATTGGTTTGCTCCCATTGTTGCTATTGTAAATCTTGTCCCTCCGTACCCTAAAGATAATAGAGCAAAAGCTCCATATAGTACTGCATATTGGAGTTTTGATGGAGTTCGGCACAAACTTGATTCTTCTACTGCACAAGGTTTAGGCCTTAATGAGTCAAGTGTTGCAGTTAAAGCCAATAGCACATTGCCCTGCAAGAAAATTCTAACTCAGTTTGATAATATATATATATAGAGAGATTAATTAACAAAAAAGAGACGACAGAGACAATTAGAAGATATTACCAAAAAAGAGACACAAGAAGATATTGTGACAACAGAGAAAGAACCCGAGAAGGAATCAGCAACTATAGCCCCAACTATAGGGGATAAATTGGACACACCACCAATAACGTTAGAAATCTGAGCTGCATCAATTCTGTTTACTTTAAATTCCCCAATCAGATACACAATCAAGTTTAATCCCGAACCTCCAGCAGCCAGTGCCAAGCATGTCACCGTCCCTGCTTAAAACAAAAATAATATATCAACCCAACTCGAAATGATCAAAGTAAGGCAGAAGATAGAAAATAGATATACCTATAATGAAAGGGAAGGTGATCCAGTTGCCTCTGTGTTTGGCAGCAGAGCTAGAGGTTTGTGCTGTTTCTGGGTTATCCATTAATCTTGTAATCTTGATATGTGAAATGTGTTACTGAGAGCGTACGTCTTAAATAATGCAAAGGTTTTGGTATTAGTGGTACGTTACTACAGAGAATGATTTATCTACACGTGGTTTTTATTGGTCTAATTCAATAAAATGAATTGATTTGTCTATAGCGGTTGGCAGGCGCATCCATATACCAAATTAAGTAACAATAAGTTTTTATTGAGACGACTGTAGTTCTAGCCAGTAACTAGAAAAAAAAAAAAAACAAAAAGATAGCACGGGTACAATTTTTAAAAGATGTCCATTTTCAGTGGGCGTAGTCTACTGGAAATTTAGCACTACTTTGGCTTAGCGGTTGGTCTGATAGCGGCTGCTGTAGCAGATGTCGACAACGGTTAACTGATTATTATTTATATTTGGTAATGATTACTATGCATGTTTGGTGAATTATTGATAGTGTTGTTAAAATACAAAATAACTATTAAGGACATAATTATTTTTATACGTGTATATATATATTAATTTATTATTTTTATTTTAATGTATTATATTAATAAAATAATAATTAAAATTTTTAAAATAATGTTTTAAAGATTTTTTTTGAGAATAAAAGAAATTATTTTCAAAAAACTATAAATAAAATGATCATAAAAAATATCAATTTGAAAAAAAAATTATAAACAATTATTTTTATAAGGTTAATAAAGTTTAAAATAATATAAATATAAATCAGCTACTAGTTGATACGAAAAAGCTCCAAACCATAGCTGATGGAAATAACAGCTGATTGAGATTTCCATCAGCTAGTTGCTGATTAAAAATTTTACCAAACACCTACAATATAGCTGTTGGGTATGAAACAATTATTAATTGCATGAAGCAGCTCAACCAAACGTCCCATTAATTTTAAAATTTGAAAACTATTTATAAATTTGATGTGAAAACAATCTATCAAAGTATTATTCATGGGAATTTAATTTTAAAAATTGCGAAATGTTATCTAAGATAGTGATTTCTGAAGCAACAAAAACCAATGAAATACTCAAAGAAATTTCTAATCTATAATATCCTCAGTGAAATTTAAGATATTTTAAAATAACTTTAATCATGATTAATTTTGAAAATTTTTTAAAGTAAATATATAAACATAATTAAGCATTTCAAAATTTTTATATTTCAAATTTTCAAATTTATTTTTTTAAATAAATATATGATAATATTGTATTGAAAATTATTTATTTTTTAAAATTATTTTTAAAACATATTTAATTTTATTTTAATTATAATCAAAATATTTTTTAGGATAGAGATAAAAAGAAAGGAAAAAACATATTATTATATTTAAATGTTTTTTTCTTTATATTTATATGATTTGATTGAATATACCGTTTAAAAATAAAATTTTCAAATACATTATATATAGAGAGGATCCAAATGGCGATTTAGCTAGGTACCTTCATATTGAAATTGGATTTGGCTCAGGGATGGCAATGGGTAGGGTTTGGATTGGGTAGTGCAATACCTATACCCAAATCCAATTTCATCCTCAATTCCTATATACTGTCTAATACCCTATCAGGTAGAGAATGTTATATTCATCTCCGAACTCAATGGTTTTGGATACATGCATGGGTATCTATTATCCACTGATGACCATTTATTCATTGACTTATTTTTTTAATTAGATTACATAAATTTTTAAAAAAATTAGAGTATTTATCTAAAAAATATATAATATATAAAAAATATGAAAACAAATTAATATATAAATAAATGTTCCAAAAATTATAAATTAAAATTTTAATTTTAAAGTTGTTCTTCTTATCAGAATGCTTCATTCAAATGTAATGGTAGCAAACTCTCCAAGTATAATTATAACAAAAATCAAATAATATAATAACTAAAAAACTCATATAACAAAATCATTAAACATAAAATATTATGATATAAACACCCCAAATCACTATTATCATTATGATTTTTTTCCATTATTTGAAATTGAAGTTTAAATCATATATTAAAAATTACGATTGAATTTCAAAATCAAAAAATTTATAAATTTTAACCAATTCAAATTAATATATGAAAACTAGAGTGAAGTTATTTTGCATTCCACTACATTAAATTAAAAGTACAATTATTTTAAATCTATCGGGTTTTAAATTTCGGATACAAGCTCAGATTCAGGTTTATAATAGCAATACTCAAACCCTATCTATATCCAAAATAAAACTTTCGTGTTTTACCCATATCCTACCCAAACCAGTCAAAATCTTAAAATTTGAATTTGACTAGGTTTGAGTTTGGCCATACCCATCAGGTCGGATTGTTTTTACCAACCCCGGCTTTCAAGTAAAAAAGATCTTAAAGGAAGAAGCTTGAGAAATTAAACAATCATATACAAAAAAAAAAAAATAATAATAATAATAACAAAGCATGTGCCCTTGCGTACATGGAAAGATAGAATTCTCATGGGATTATATGGGACTATGGGAGAAATAAAGTAAGGATTTATTATTTATTTTTTTTATAGTAGATAATTATTTTCAAAAATAGTCATATTTTTATTTTAAAGTCATAGATGTAAATAAAAAAAAAATTGCAAAAGAGACTATTTGACTTTTTATCTATAAGTTTGTGGGGCTTGATGAGGAAAAGTTTGGTCCATTGTTTAATAAGATTGTTAGTTGATGATTTTGGTCATTATATGAGAAAATATATCTATATATGATCGTGGTAGCTCAGCTTTTATTATAGTTGATATTAGAGAGTAGTAGGTATATAGTTAAATCATATTTAAAGGAAGATGAGAGTGGAAATTTATTTTACTTTCTATATTATATATGAAAAAAATATGTATTATCCATTGATTGCATATATAAGAATGGTAGGTTGATGACTTTGGTCAATGAAATTTGTAATTTTTTTTATAAGTTGTTTTGACTTATATTACAGTTGATGGATTTTTAGGGTTATTTAAGAAAATTCAAGTCATCCTGATTAATTCTGGCTCACTTTCGAAGGCAAAGAGATCGCCCAGGAGGAATTAACATTGCAGAGGATTGAATCCATGACTTAAACTATATTGATCAATCTCGTAAATATTCTTTATCAATGAAATACCCCGAATTTTTATTTTCGAAACTTCAGAATTTTTATTAAATCAAAAATCTCGATTTTTAACTATATGGGCTATAAATACCAAACAATTTCAATTCGAGCCCAAGGTTGCGAGTTGGGCCTAAGCCGAGTTGGGCCTAAGCACATAATATTCATCGAAAATTTTCGATTTGAGAACAGTTAAAATTTTTCGAGAATAGATTTAAAGCTCAGCATTAAATCTACTATGTATTAATCTATAAATTAATTTTCCTAAAATCCTAAAAATCAAATATGATTACTAATTATATTTTTATTTTATTTTATTAATGGAGGAACGTTACAAAACCTAATTAAAATAATCAACATAAATTGAACCGGACCCGGGAATCAAATCGATTTTTCGGAAACCACACGAATAATCTGAAAACCAAGTGAAAAACCTGCAAACCGAGAAAGAATCGAGCCAAATCGTTGAATCTGATCAAACCGATTCGAATCGAATCGGAATGATCTAGAAACCGACATACTTTTCTTTCTTTTCTTTCCCTTCCTCCTCTCCTTCTTCCTCCTAGCGTGCGATAGCCCTCATCATCCCTCTCCTTCCCGTTCGCCGGCCAAACAGCCATCGTCTCTGGCAAACAAGGACTCTAACTTCAAGAGCTCAGCGAGACAATCGTTCCGGTGGCCTTGGTTTGTGTGATGAGAGCCTGAAATGAGAGAGATCGCGACTGGAAGGCCGCGCCAACGTGCGATGGAGTTTTCCGGCGAAATCCTCACCGTTCCGTCGACTTCAGGTGTTGGGGATGGTCTCGATCGACTCATCTCCTCCAAACGAACACTTTCCCTCCACCGATTTGTGATTTCACCTGAGTTTCGAGGAACCACCATGGACGGCGGCATGGAGAAACTGTCGGGCTTGTTCCGGCCAAATGAGCCACTGGCTCATCAAACTGATAGGAGATTTGGACTCCTCACAAAAATTGGAGTCGGGTGGTGGTAACCTTGCAATTTCTGGGCATTCGCAACTTTCCGGGCACCGTGCATGGCGGCCGGCGGCGGCGGTCCGGTGACCGGGGGGTCGACACTGCCCGGCGGCCAGAGGCAGAATGATCTCTTTCGCGTGTGGATCAATGGAAATGTGGGTCCGATTCTCAAACGGTACGCCTACAGCATGCTATTTCACCATTTTTGTGTTTTAAATCTCCAAATTTAATATTAATTGATTAAGTTTTGAAATCAATTATAATCTTCTAATGATAATTAGTGTGAGATTAGTTGCAAATTGAATTTTGAAATTGTCAAATAAATTACTGAATATATTATAAAATTAGGTGATTTAAGGAGGAATAAATTAAGAATTTTTTTATTAGTTAATGTAGATAATCTTAGTTTAAAACTAGCCGATTGTGCAATAAGAAAAGTAAGGCGAATTTTTAATTGGTTCGAGATTTTAATAAATTAAGATTTGGGAGGCCTAGCCATTTTTTTATATTGATATAAAAACCGAATTTTAATAGGTAGTAGTTATAATTAGTTATTGTTAAATATGTTTTAGCTGCTTAACAAATTAGTTACTGTAAAGCTATTAATTTAGTTAACTAATGACTTAATAAATGATTTTAGATGGATATTAGAATTAGTTTGTAAATTTTTGGTTGAGTGTTGATATTGTTGTTTTGGAAGGAGGATGGGATTTTAAATTGATTGATTGCCCGACGGATAGGCTGTGTACATTGATTGATAAATATATAATAATATTGTGATATTTGAGCAGGTAGATAGTCCAATTTTTAGAGGAGGTGCTGCTGAAATTTCGCTAAAACTTACTCTAGTTTTAATTAATAACATAATCAATAAGTTTATTTAGATTAATTCTATAACTTGTTATTTAATAAATAAAGTGCTTTGATTATTTTATTATTATCATGATTATTCATTTAATTATCAATTATTTATTTATTTCATCATTGTTGTTATGTTAATTTTATTTATTTATTTATTTAGTTGATTGCATTTGACAATGGATGTCTAATTGTGCATTGCATTACGATGTTCAACTGAATCAATATGTCTGCATTTAATTGCAATGTTTGATTAATTGTGTTGTAATAATGCTATGCTTTGTTTGTGTGGAGTTGGGATGAAGTGGGTCACCATGGGCTTGTGAGACCGTTACCGTTATATGGATCTTGATTACTGTTATATACCGTTACTGTTATATGAATCCATTACCGTTAGCCGGGTAAATGGAAGATCGGCGCCCCCGTGTGCATCTACCGTTACCGTTACTGTTAACCACAGGATAACCGCTCGTTGTTGCGCATCGGACAGTCTAGATTTGATCGCAGCCCGCAGGGTGGCCTCCTGTTGTGAGCGCCTGATGATCTAGATTGGATGGAGACCACCGGGTTGCCACCGGGTTGCCTCCCTGTTGGTATATATATTAAAAAAAAAAAAAAAAAAAAAGAGGGAATGAAAAACAATGAGAAGGGCTGAGTCAAGTGAGGATTAAGTAATCGATCGGCCAAGTATGGGGAATCGGCTCCCTGTGGGCACACGTGAAGTGGAAAATGAGCCCCATGTGGGAGACGCTGCATCGAGGTTTCGGTGACCGCATTGACCAATTCCACGTGGAATGTGATTTAATGGAAGATGTTAATAATTGTGAGTGCTGGTGATATGCCATTTGTGTGACTTGGTTGTGTTGAGCATATAACTAGTCGAATGACTAGATATATAATGAATTTATCATTTGCTGTGAAATGCCGTGTGTTGTGCAATAAGTTACTTCTTAGAAGGCTCACAAATCTTGCTTAATTTTTTTCAAGAAAGTAAGTTTCTCCTTTAATTCAATTAAGTTATGTTCCTCCGCCGTAGGGCCTAAGAAGAAATTTTTTCCAAGTTTCATAATTATTTACCTATGTATTAATATGTATAAAAAGCTATGTATAGCCAAGGAGTTAGTGACTCCGCAAGTTGCAAAGAATTTGTGTAACATAGTCGTGTAAACATAGAACGATATTAATTAAATTATGTGGATCCATATTAAAAATGTGAATGTATTGTTATTTGGGCCCAAACTGTAGAATGTTTGTAGCTGATAAATTTAGGCCGAGAGATAAATAAAATTTAATTTGTGTACAATTAGTCGTGTATTAACATAGACGATATAATTATGTGAGTCCATATTAAAAATGTGATGTATTGTTAATTGGGCCCAAACTGTAGAATGTTGTAGCTGATAAATTTAGGCCGAGAGATAAATAAAATTTTGAGGTTTATTTTCCTATAAGTATGGGCTGAATGCTTAAAAATTATATTGAGATAGTAAATTTTTTTTGTGTTTTAGGCTTACTACGGGCCTCGAGGGCCTTAAACTTACCTGGGCCCTAGTGTCGGTTCGGCCCATGGAATCGGAGCGTGACAACCACCGAGCTATTTCATCAGATTAAATTTATTGAAAATTTACAACATAATCGTAACTTTGTAATATATTAACAAAAATACATCTTGTTTTGTAATTCTTTGTCTTTACAAAAGTATATGTTATTTTATAATTCACCTAACTTTATAAAAGTACTAGCCTTTAACAAAGAGCGATGTCTTGGTTAACAAAAATACATCTATTTTGTAATATTGCCTTTACAATAGCAGCTACATTTAAAAAAAAAAAAAAAGTTGATGGCTTTTACAAAATATTATTAAAGTTATGTGTTATTTTGTAATTCACCTAATTTTATGAAAAATAGCTGCTTTTTACAAAATAATGGTGTCTTTTACAGAATCTCGATAAAAATAGATTTTCCTTTGCAAATTAGGATGTTTACAAAAACTATCGGCCTTTCGCAAAAACAGTTATGATTCTACAGAATCTCGACAAAATCACATGTTACTTTGAATTTAACCAACCTTAACAAACTTTTATTACAAATATCTTTTTGATAAAACAGAGATGTCTTTTATGAGACTTTGGCAAAAAAAAAAATATATATAATATAAAATATAAATTAGCACTTTTATAAAAAGAAAAATCTTCCTTTTACAGAATAGTGACTACTTTGAATAATTACATCATTATACTTAAAGCAGTCACATATCCATAAATCCAAGTACTCGTCAAATGTGGATCATGCATGCACAAGAACAAGTTATATATATTACATAAAAGCAACATATTAAATCTATTTCTTATGAATGAAAATAAAATTAATAATATATATCATTAATATGACTATTCCCTTTTTAAAAGAAATAAGTCTTCAAATTTTTTACTTCCACTGATAACTTTAATTAGATGTTAATATGATATAAAAATTGATTGTTTTAAATGGAGTTTTAAAATAAAAATTAATGGTATAATCCATATGTCTATTTTGATTTTGAAAAAGTGAAAATCTCAGGTAGAAAGAAAATTTTTCAAAAGACGTGACCCAATTAATATAATGATGGAAAGAATGTTTACTATAACAACCAGCAAGTCCTACACACAAGCAAAGGAACTTACAAGTGACCGGGGTCAATTAATATATTTGCAAAGAAACGGAAATTACAAGTGACCTGAGAATAACATATAGATAGGAAAGCAAAGAGTAATTGCATGGTCTTTATTAGAGTCACCCATTGAAAATGGGGATTGATTTATCTAAATATGGTTCACGGATAGATTAATAACTCGTAGATCATAGTCATAAATTTGACGATGGTGTTTCAAACCACACACTAGAAAAAAAATGATAAAGTAGGAAAAGTTTCAAAAAATTCATATATTGATCAGTTTGATTGACAGATAATGTTACAGACCCGATATAGGTAAATCTAATCCTTGAAAATGATAAGCATGGATTAAATTGAGAATAAATTCAAATATTCAACAACTTACAAACATTGTTCTCCTTGCATTATATGTATCATAAACAACATCCATCCATATCACAACATTGTAATTCTTATCTCAATATCATAATTTTTAACTTTTAATATTTGTAAAAGAGAAACAGAGTACATTCAACTTTCACTTACAGAATCTAAAGAAGTCTCATCAATCGTCTTTTGGACACTCTGATATTTATAGAACTTAACACAACATAGATAATAACAGAAATTTAGCATTCCTACTGCCACTAGAACCCAATACACATTATCTAGCCTTCCATGATCAAGATTATTCGGTAACCAGTTTGTGACCCTTCTAATAAGATCAATCAGAATTGTGCCTAAATAAAAAGAAATCCCGATAATTAAAGACATCATAGCAGTTGCTGTACTGCGCAGTGAATCAGGAAACTCCTGGTAATAAAGCTCAACTTGTGCTGGAAAATGAAATGATTCTCCAATACCAGCTAGAATTAGTTGTGGAAATAACCATAGGACGAGCATAGGCACTATAGTAGAGTTTTCTTTGCCACTAGCTGATTGTTGAGCATGAGCTAGTCTAAGTCTCTTTGACTCCACTAAAGCTGATACTCCCATGCTTAGCACATTAAGCATATGGCCTATTCCGATTCTTTGGAATAGAGTGGGCGATTTTCGCATTAGCTTTTGCCATATTCGAAAGAGAACCCGATCATTTATGGTGAGAAAAATGGAAGTACTAATCAGTGTTATGACGATTGAAATAGAGCCAGCTGGGATTTTAAAATGGTGTCCGAGTCTACGATCCATTGTCAGAGCTTGAAGCACATTTAAGCTGGTTTGCATTGCTATTGGAGTGCTTAAAAATATTGATGTTGACCATATGGGGAAAATCCTTATTAGAGCCTTGAAATCTTCAACTTGTTGTACAGAACATAGTTTCCAGGGTTTTGCAATTGACCCATCAGTTTTTGTATCTCCTTCAGCTTTTAGTGCTGCTCGATTCAAAAACCTGCTTTGTTAAACCGCATTTTAATTAATTTTTTGAACTTTTTCCAAAAACATTAGAAATAGAAAACTTTAATGCATTATATTTTACAATTATTAACCAACCAATCTATCTAACGTGTTTTTTTTTTTTTTATCTTATCGTGTTTTGACTATTCTGTTATAAAATAACAATTTATAAGATCAGGTCAAATCAATAAAAAATACTTTTTCTTTCAGAAATGGAGATATTTCTGACTATTCACTCAGGAAAAAATAGCTATCGTGATTGGTGTAGTCCATAAGTAGGACCAGGCTTAGAAAAATATCAAAAACAATATTGGCAATGGACCATGAAAATTCTAATGATTTAACTCCAATAGTTTTTTGAGTGTCACCAACTACCATTCCACTCTTTACTAAGTTTATAAGGCTGAAAAAAAAAAAGAGAAAATAACAAATAGGAAATTTAATTGTGAGGTTTAATTAATTTGTGCATCTTTATAGGTACAAAATTCTATTCCGTGTACTAATTTTCTTTTATTTTATTGATTAATAGTAAATTTAATATTTAGGACACTAATTTTAAAATTTTTATAATTTTTATATGATTAAACAGAATTATCTCCTGTCAACTTTGGTTTTTAGAATTGTTAAAACTCATACCTTTAAATATACTTTTTCTCAGATAATTTTGCAATCTAATAATCTCTAAATTCTTATAAAATAAGATATTTTAGTATCTTTAAGTGTTTTATAAATAGCTTTAAATTTATAATTAAAATTAAAAATAAATAATTTTATATAATAAAAATCATTACTTTATTCCCATAATTTAAAACTTCTGAATGAGAAATTGCAAGTTGCCTGTCATGAACTTGGTCAGTGGAGGCTTAGGCCCACAAAACTTCTACAGGAGAAGGCAGAGTGCTTTCCTTTGAGTGCTAAATAAGAGTGTGTTTGATAAGTCTTAGCACACGCGGCCCATCACTTCAAAAATGCTGAAAGATATATGTAATATTTTATTTCAAAAGAAGATTAATAATATCCATTGAACCTTTTGTATAGTAATAAAATATTAAAAATTATGAAAATTATAAAATATTTAAATTTTCATACCTAGCTTTCTTTTAAAAATTCTTTATATAATGTTTACGTTAATCAAATAATGATTAAAAGCAAACATTCATGATTGTATTAGTTTGATAGGCCATAACTTATCAGAATAATTTTTATTCGGTATTAAGAAAGTAATTAATTAGGAAAATAAACAAAAAAAAATATTTAAAACGAAGTTATAATTAAGATCATACCTGAAACTATTAGTAATTGAAGCAGAGACATCTTTTCCTTTTAAATCATCCTCAAAGTAATAGTCACCACTCGTAGAAGACAATAAGGCCTTCCTCTTTCGTATAGCAGCAACAACTACACGTGCTAAGCCAGTGAATGGGCTCCCACGTGGCTTATTATCCCTGTAAACTTGATTTCCCAGAAGGAAAATGACTATACCAATGAAGTTAGCAGCAACACATAGCCATAACCCCAAAGACCAACTTACATTATCTTCTATATAGACAATGGCAGTGGCACCTACTACAGAAGCAACGTATAAGGTGAAAAAGTACCAATTGAAAAAACTGCTCTTATCTTCTTGTTTATCGAATTGATTTGCTCCCATTGTTGCTATTGTAAATCTTGTACCCCCTAACCCTAAAGATCCTAGAGCGAAAGCTCCATATAGTACTGTGTATTGGAGTTTTGATGGAGTTTGGCACAGACTTGGTTCTTCTACCCCACAAGGTTTAGGCCTTAATGAGTCAAGTGTTGCAGTTAACGCTAATAGCACAATGCCCTGCAAGAATATTATAGTTAAAATATTATTTAGAGGACAAAAATGAAGTATTAAGTTACAGGTTTCACGATAATTAACAAATATGTTTTTGTTACGTATACCTAATCACAAGATTATTAGTCTAATAATTATGTTTGAACATCAATATTTTTTATTATAAGATACACACCTTACAGCTAAGCTACTAATACTCAGATAAACGATGATTTATAATTTTGTTCAATTTGCAATCTCGTACCAGGAAATGAAATTGAAGAGCAAGAGTATCTATTAATTACCAGAAAAGAAACACAAGAAGATATGGTGATAACAGAGAAAGAACCCAAGAAAGAGTCAGCAACTATAGCTCCAACTATAGGAAATAAACTGGAACCGCCATAAACAACATTGGAAACCTGAGCTGCATCAATGCTTTTCACATTAAATTCCCCAATCAAATACACAATCAAGTTCGATAACCATCCTGCAACAGCTAACGTCAGGCATGTCACTGTCCCTGCTTAAACAAAAATAATGCATCAACAATCCGTTACGTGTATATATAACTCTAACTAGAATTTTCAGTACCGGTAATAAATTAAATGAAAGCTTGTGAGTTTGAAATGATTAGAATAAGCAGAAGACAGAATGCATATAATATATATGTACCTACAATAAAAGGAAAGGTGATCCAGTTGCCTCTGCGTTTAACAGAAGAGCTTAAGACTTGTGCTGTTTCTAAGTTTTCCATTAATTTTGTAACCTTACTTGCTTGTATGTGAAATGTGCTTCTGGCAAAGAGGTCTTGTTTTAAATAATGCAAAGGTTTGGTGGTGTCAGTTCGTCCTTTATTAAACGCTATGGTTTAATAAAAAGGATCCAATCCAATAAAAGTGATTGACGTGTATAAATCAGTTTATGTTCCTAATTATAAACCAAAACAATTAAAATTATTTCTGATCATTCAATCCAAAAAAATAAATAAATAAAGTGAGAAATTTTTTTTCAAAATCTATATTTTTATTAGTTTAGACCATAGGCGAACTCATAAACTGGATTTAGATAAATCTAATCCCAATTATTTGGTCTAAATAAGATTATTATTGACTTACTATTCAAAAAAAAAAAAAGACAAATCAATAAAAAAATTGTAACCATGTTTTCAAATTGTAATTTTTTTTTTTTTTTTTTTTTTTTATTCTCTGATCATTAATATAACATAATATAATGTGAGAAAATTTATAATTTCAAATCTCTATATCTCTTATCTCTTGTAGTTTATGACCATAGGGAATTATATAGGTTATTAGATATAGACTATATATACTTTGGTCGCTAATAACGATTATTATTGAGGACTTTACTAATTCAAAAAAAAAAAAGACAAATACATAAATAAAATTGTAACACATGTGATTGATTACAAATAATTGAGTAATTATTTTTTTTTTTTTTCTTTGAGAGAGATGTAATATCTTATACGGCCAAAGCTTCGAAAAGATATACACAATAGTATCATGAGACATTGTGCTCCACATAGTTAAGATAGGAAGACAAGTACACCTACACCATAATGAATTAGCTATGAGGAGCTTATGCACCAAAAAAAGCAGGCGTTTATCATATGAAGAGGAGCTTGTCTTTTAGCTTGCGTATGACTAGTACTGCATATGAACTTCATTACTACATCCAATCCAATTCAAGTGATTCAATTCAACTACGGCAGATTTTAAGGACTATAATGGGTTGATTGGGGCAAGTTCAATTTTTACTAATTACAGCGGTTGGCATTGGGTCAAGTTTCAACTAGATAAACCCACAAATCCAGATCCAACCCTATACGAATAATGTCAAATAAATAATTTATTATATGTGTGTGGTGTGATTAGTGGAATTTATGTTAGTAAATTTGCGTGTTGATTGTAATTTTTTGAATATAAAATATTAAAACATATTTAGTAATGTTGGCCTTTAATTGTTGCTTTCTTTTATGTATGTACTAATACTCTTAGTTTTTGGAAATTCGTTGCTATTGAATATATATTAAAGTCTAGAATTCATTATATACATTATGTTACTAACTGGTTTGTAAATTTAATTGTTGTCTTTTCTTATTAGATGAAATTGTATTTTTCATTATTGCATTATAGATCTTATATGATCCTAATCATATCATATCTTAAGAAATTTAATTTTAAATTGGTTATTGCGTATATATTGTAGTTTCGTGAAAATTTTTGTATGAATTAATTTCTTAAAATCATTATTAGTTTAATATTTTATTGTAACCCAAATCCTTCTATAATATTGCAGGGTTCACACGATTTAATGGATTGAATTGAGTCCAAAAAAATTGAGTGACCCATCCATAGCGCAATCAAAATTATTTAAATAATAAACCCGACACATGTAATTCCCTATCTATTTTTTTTTTTTTTTTTTTTTTTTTGAGAAAATGATAATACTATTAATAGCCCAAAGCTTCAAAAGCAATAACAAATAGTATATGGAATTGTGCTCCACATAGTTAAGCTAGCACTAAAACAAGTCACCTTACCCATATGATGAGTTAAGCTAGCACTAAAACAAGCCACTTTATCCATATGACGAGGAGCCTTGTTTGCTTGCCTATGACTAGTACTGCATATGACTCATTCTAATCCAATCCAATTCAAGTGATTCAATTCAACTAGGCAGATTTAAGGATATAATGGGTTGATTGGGCAAGTCAATTTTATAATTCACGGGTTGGATTGGGTCACGATTTCACTAGATAAACCCACAAATCCAATCCAACCCATAAATAATGTCAAATAAATAAATATGTGTGTGTGTGATTATGAAGTATTTAGTTAATTTGATTTGATTTGTAATTTTGAATATAAATATTAAAACATATTTAGTAAATGTTGCCTTTTAATTGATTGTTTTTATGTAGTATAAACTTGTTTTGAATCGTTGCTATTGAAATATATTAAAGTCTAAAAATTATTATATAATTATGTTACTAACTATTTGTAATTTTATTGGTTGTCTTTCTTATTAGGAAATTTAATTTTTCATTATTGATTATAATTATGATGATACTAATAATCATATTTAGAAATTTAATTTTAATATTGTTATTGGTATATATTTGTAGTTTGTGAAAATTTTTGTATAATTAATTTTTAAATAAATTTAATTTTTTTAACCCAACCTGTCTATAATATGCGGGTTCACACATTTAATGGATTGAATTGAGTCAAAAAAATTAGTGACCCATTCATACGAATCAAATACTTTAAATTAATAAACCCGACCCATGTAATTCCCTTCTTATGACTCATTACCTGTTGACCCAAGCTAATGATATTACATTAGCATCACTCAAAAATCTCTTACAGTCCTCAATTAGGAGACCAAATTCAGTTCTGTCCACGCCATTCCTTCAATTGTAACTTATTATTGACTTGTTGAAAAGCGGTCTCGTACATTAATTCACATTAATCCTTTATTTGGACGGAAGTATTTTTTTTAAAGGAAGGAAAATAATTATGAAAAATATTTAGAAAATTTTATTTTTTCTTATTTAGAAAAGGGGAGGAAAATAATGAAAATATTACAACACTTATTTTTCAGCTACAACCAAATGTTTTGAATTTTTCCAATTCGAAAAGAAAATAAAGAAGGAAAGTGGAAATTTCATTCATTTTTATTAAATTACCCAAATACCCCCAATTAATTAATAAATTTTAATCCTTTCTTAAATACCCTATTGCTTAAGTGAGGACATAAGTGTTAATTTTCAATAATAACATTTTCTTTTCTCTAAAATTTTACTCTTTTTAAATGAAGGAAAATAAATTTATTTTCTTTTTTTTATTATATCCAAATACAAGGGTGGAGAATAAAACGGAAAGAAAGTTGACAATTCCTCGTTATTTTCCTCTATTATTTTTCTTCATCTCCTTCCCAAACAAAAGATAAATGTAGGCAAATATTTCTCATCTTTCCTAAAATTAAAATGTCCTTGTTGCTAAGGGTGAGCATTCGGTTAACTAACCAAATTAGATCAGTATCGGTTATCTGAATATATTTTTATGGTATCCAAATTCAAAACCCAATGGTGTAATCACCAATTCAAACTAAATTAAATCGATTTGGTTCAGTTAAATTCGTTTATTCCAAACCAAATTAATTATTTTATTTTAAAAATAAATTTAGTTAGTTATATATGATAACTAAATCAAAAACCAAATAGTTTTATATATTCAAACCGATCAGTAACCGAATTTCTAAAATAACTATTTGAATCCGATTGAAATGAGTTGGTTTAATTCGGTTCTTGGTTAGAAACTGAGAAGTGGTCACCCGAATTGTTGCTAGCCAGTAATTGGTTCTGTTGGTGTCAAATGGGTCAGACCAATACGGTTTTAGAATTTAGCTAACTGGTTGTCATCTAACCGAAACATGAAACTAACAAACTTCTTTTAAAATTCAGTAATTATAATTTCACAAAATTAAAAATATTGAATACCAAATAAATTTTCATTTATATTATAAAACATAAAAATTTATAAATGAATTTCATATAATTTTATGAAATGTATATATATGAAAAAAACTATCTAACTTGCAAAAATTAAAAAAAAAAAAATTGTGTCATGGACATTAGTCTTATCGACTAAAATAGTAAAAAAGCGAAAACAATTTATAAATTTGATGTGAAAACAATTTACCGAAGTGATATTAATGGGAAATTAATTTTTTAAATTACAAAATGCGAGCTGAAGTGACATTTTTGTGAAACAAGTTCTTATTATTTTTTTTTTCTCCATTTGAAAATTGGAAAAACAAAGAAATGCTCGAGAAATGACTATTAAGAGCGTCAATTTCTTCAGCAATTTTTCTATAGTCTTTTTCATTTTTTCTTCATCTGAAAATTGGAAAAGGACAAAAAAGAGTAGCAATTTCTTGAGCGAATTTTTTATTTTTCTATTTTTCCTTCATTTGAAAACAGAAAGAGTTAAAAAAAAAAATCTCAAGAAACCATCACTAACAGTGGCACTAAAGTAAAGGCATCTATCCCAGACCCAGGTCTACCCGGTACACCCAAGAACCTAATACTTGAGCCACTTAAAAAAACAAAACCAGCATGGAACACAATATCAAGGCCATTGATTGATGTAAGCATCGATACTTTTTTGCACAAATTGGTTTATTTAAGCGAAGTTGGAATCAGATGCTATATGAAAAGGCAATTATTATTATTTTCCATTTCTATAAATTATTATCTTTATCTCCTGTTTCATTAACTTCTTTTCTTTTCTAGATAAATCAAAGCTAGACTTAATTACCAAAAACATATTTGATACCAAAATTGAAAAACAAACAAGTAAATAAGAAAAAAAATAGTTCTTATTATATTCAACTTTCACTTATACAGAACCTAAAAAAGTCTCATCAATCGCCTTCCGGACATTCTGATATTTATAGAACTTAACACAAGAAAGATAATAACAAAAGTTTAGCATTCCCATTGCCACTAATACCCAATACACATTATCTAGCCTTCCATGATCAATATTATCAGGTAACCAGTTTGTAAACCTTTTAATAAGATCAATCAAAGTTGTGCTTAAATAAAAAGAAATTCCAATAATTAAAGAGATCATAGCAGTTGCTGCACTACGCAGTGAATCTGGAAATTCCTGGTAATAAACTGCAACTTGTCCTGGAAAATGAAATGCTTCTCCAATACCAACAAGAATTAGTTGTGCAAATAGCCATATGGCGAGCATAGGCACTGTAGTAGAGTTATCTTTCCCACCA